TCGTGTCGGGGGCAGCGCTCATATGTACGTTCCAAGCGCTCATAGAATAGAATAGAAGAGTACCTGCATTAGGGCGGAGTAATTTGTTCGGAGCAAAATCTTCGAAGAAAGTGAATAGCAAATTCGAATTCGCGATTAATTCTAAGCAAAAATTCTCAGCAGAAATGACGTTTGACCCTCCCAAATTTCAAAAGAAATAGCAGTATTGCAGCAGAAAATACAAAATTTTGTAAATGAAAAATTAATTTCGCTCGGAAAAAATTATAATACACTGATTTTGGTTAAAAATTGGGATGGCCATTTTCGGTATATAGTTCGTTCACAATTTTTGCTTAGAATCGAGCGTAGAATTCGAATGGGTCACATACTTCTTTCGAAATTAAATTACTCCGCCCTAAACTGCACACTAAATTATGTGAATTGTATGCGCTCGCAATTGAACCTTAAAATCTGCCTATATTTAAAACAAAAAAAAAGCTGAGCTCAGGCAAGCAGGACTTTTGTCGTTTTGAAAAAAAAAAATACTAGTTCAGAATTAAGATCATATCTTCATTGCGTGGAAGTTTTCTTAATTAGTCAAATGCTCTTGTGGTAAATATACAGGCAAAAAGTTCCGTAAGCCTACATATGAATAGTATATCGGATTTTATAAAAGGTGCTTATTAATTAAAAGCTGTATTTAATCAAAACTTGTAATCAATTTTTAACCAACTTCCCTATGAACTACAGCCTTTCAACAAAACTAGCTCAGAACCCGATGACAATGCACTATCGTAGAGGAATAAATCCGCTAGGTAGAGCAGGATTCGAGATATTTGGAAAACCTTTATTTATAGACCGATTTGTTTGATATTTGAAACGAATATTTCTAAAATGGAAAGGAATAGATTGTTACGAAACTAATAAAGTATAAAATTTAATTACGTATATAATTTACACAGAAAACTTGCATTTTCCAAGAGGGACGGGTGGGACAACGATGAGACCTGCCTTCCTGAGTTGATGGGTTCGTCTCCAAATTTCAGACTATAAATATTTCAATCATAGCGCTTTTCTGGAATGTCGTTAATAGAATTTTGAGGTCCATTTTATAATAATATGGCATCATTATAAGTATTTCAAGCAGGGATCAAAAATAACTGTTATCTCGAATTTACAAATAGAAAACGTTGCCAGAATTCTGAAATATTACGAAAATGTTGTTTAATAACAGTTATTAGATGAAAATTATTTTTTATTTCGCAGATAAGAGTTATAACAGTTATTGTCCAACGTTTTTTTTTACTTTGTCTGATTAACGTTGTAAGCTAAGAGTATTGACGAAAACAGAAATGGAGAAGAAGATAAGGATGATGAAAATACAAGAGGAAATAACCGTTATCAAGCAACGTAAAAAATAAACGTTCGGAAATCTATTTATATTATTTATTTATTTATCTATTTACGCAAAGCATTTTTTGTGCAGCATGAAAGATCTGCACCACTCGTTCGATTTTCAAAAATGTCGCGTCAAATTAAAGCGCTTGGTCTGTAGATGCCACCTGTTAAATAATTAAACTCAAGTTATTTACTAATCAATGCCCTCAGATCCGCACCGTCCCAGTGGGAAAAGTAGTAATGCATTATATGCGTGATAAATAATGTAATGTATTTCTTATGAGTTCTACATTCTATTACTGCTTAATATGCAATCAGCATTCTAAGGTATCCAAAAAGTCGCAAAAAATTCATACTAAATCACATTCATTCCTGCATTACTGGTAATGCAAAAATGAATGCCCCACTTTCCTAGGACATCGCCGTGGGGAAAAAATGCATTTTCGAATTTGAAAAAGGCTGTTTTACTGATTATTTTTTCGACAACTATACAATACATTTTCCCACTAGGGTCCGTTCGATTTTCAAAAGTGAGTTACCAAATTAAAGGGCTTAGGGTGTGGACATTGAAGAAGGTTTTACTTTTTCGAAAAAATTTAAGAAATTAAGCTCAAATTAATTAAAACGTTAAATCAATTATTAAACAAAGGTATCAATCGAAATGGTTTTGAAAAGGTTTTATAACTTAACTACGTATAGGTAGGTTGCCACATGTTTAAAAAATGTAATTCAATTTTAATTAAAGGAATTTGGTAAGTGAATAATGTATCGCTATATGGAGGCCATACAAAAGAGATTTAAGAAAATAGTAGATTGGAAATATTTTGAATAGGGTTGCCACCTATTTGAGAAGCCTAATTGAACTATTTTATACCCAAGTTATATGAAATATTAACGATGGATGTCAAATGAAAGAGCTTCAAGAAATTATTGGGGGATTCACAACGGTGTCGTAAGTGTCGTATTGTTGTATGTCGTAAACTTTAAAAGCATAAATAAATGTTTAGAGAACTTGAAACCACAATAAACTATTTTTTAACACTGCGAAAATTCAAAATATGACTTTGATGGTACTTTGCGAACCCCCTTAATATATTTTTTAGGCTTTGGTACCTAGAATCATGTCAATAGAACTGGTAACATTTTTTGGTAATAAAATTTCCAGGTTATAAAATCTTCGGTAACACGCAGAACAGACCTGTAAATAAAATCACTACTTTTCAGTACAGTTTTATAAGGGTCACAAACTTACACATTCTGTATCGGACCATATGTATATTAAAATCATTCAATTCAATGTTTTAATACCAGAGCGTACTTTGCTGTAAGGGTATATAAACCAATTGTTCAGTACGAAGAGAGGAATCGATTGAACCCAATGATGTAACTCCACGAAAGTTGGTCCAAGGAAGGTTGGTATGGGCAAAATTGGACTTAAGACGCACCTAGTTACTTCTCACGAAACGGGGGTTTTCGCAAAAATTCAAAAAGTGTTGAATTTCAGCAATTGCTTGAGCTAAGTTGCCCAAAATTGACAAATCGAATAATCGTTGACTAGAAATCCTTAAAAGATATTTGGCGCTTAAATTTTGCTAAGTGTTTGACCGAGCTTCACCCTCAATTTGTATTGTGCGTCTCGAATATTGTTGCACAAATGGAGCGACCCACAGTTTTATGCCGCCTCCATCGAATCTTGGTCCTATGGAGTGATAGTACGTTCCTCTAACCACTCGGCTACAGCGGCTGCACCGCCTACAATGTGTGAATACGTAGAAATGTCACAAAAGATTCACCAAAAATGCGTGGTAAAAAAAGACAGAGACAGCCGCTGAAAGATTTTCGAAATGCCATATTTAACCCTTCGATTTGTGAGAAGGTCCCTAGGGACCTTTTCGTATTTCATGTGCCTATATCTTTTTGTTCAATGCGTTTTTGAAAAGAATTTATACGTGTATTCCAAGAATAAATTAAGCTGAATCGTTTAAAATAAGTTTCGA